AACTTTCAACAAAAACAAATGCAAGAGCACGAAAACCCCAGATCTCGAAGAGAACATAGAATAAACCTTGAAACCCTAGCAGATCGGCAGGTGATTCGATTGAAAATTAGCAAAAAGAAAAAAAAATTACCTTTTGAAAATCGCGAGGAGCGACGCCGGGGAGGTAGAAGGCAGTGGATGAAGGCAAGATGAGGAGGAACGAGAGGAGGAGGAAGGCGGTGACGCCATTGAGATCTCTCATCTCGAGCTCAAATGAAGAGTAGCGAAGAAAAAGAGAGTACGGTGTTTGGGGTTAGAAAAAGAATAAATTTTCACCGTAGACCCGAATAGGATTTTAATTACCAAAATCGACTGTTTTTTTTTTAATTACCAAAATCGATCCGTTTTATGTCACGTAGGATTAATCTTGTTTCCTAATTAGTCGGGGTTGGCAACCCCGACTGTTTAGGAATTGTTAAACCGTAATTAGAAGCCTTAAAACCTGATTAGTTAGGGTTTAACAACTCCTAAACAGTCGGGGTTGCCAACCCCGACTAATTAGGAAACAGGATTAATCCTACGTGGCATAAAACGGATCGATTTTGGTAATTAAAAAAACAGTCGATTTTGGTAATTAAAATCTAATTTGGGTCTACAGTGAAAATTTATTCGTTAGAAAAACGTTGGAGGTAGTGTTGCAGATAAGTCCAAATAAAAAATGTTGGAGGTAGTTTTGCAGATGAGTCCAAATAAACTTCTTCCTATACTACCAACAGCTTATCTTTTTCTTAGGGCTTGTTTGGATTGAGGGGAATGAGGGTGAAGAGAAGTTAGGGGAACCATTCACCTCCATTCACCTTGTTTGAGAACACTTAGGAGGTGAAGTTAATTCACCCTAGTTCCCCTTGGTTCACCCCCTAATAGTATAAAAATTGTTACCCCCCAAATTGGGGTGTAACCAAGGGGAAGGGAATTCCCTTCCCTTTCCTTCCCTTCCCTTCACTCAGTTTCCCTTAACTTCTCTTCACCCCTACAAAACCAAACAGGCCCTTAGGAACTTATTAGCAATTCTAAAGGTTTGAGGGATTAATAGCTAAATAGCCCAAGTGAATAGTAAGACTTACATTAAGGTTTTTGACTCTACTTGCTCCCTAGGATATTAAATTTGTTTGTGCTTATATTGTTAGACTATATTTTGGCTCTATGTATCTTCTAAGTTATTGAATTTATATCCTCATCACCGTCTGAACTATTAAATATGTTTATTGTCAAAAAGATTATTTCCTCCATAAACTATTGGTGAATTTCCAAGTTTCCTCCTAAAAGTGGTAATTTATCTATTTTCCCTTTGAGTGGTGCTAGGGACACCCTTAAACCACTATAGAGAGAGATGTGGTTGGGAGTGTGGTTTAAATGTGTGCCTCTAACATTTCTATTTCCGTTTCAAATTATGTTTGTAATTTAATGTGATTATTTTATGAGTCTATAGTCAAATATTTTATAGATGAAATACATAACTTTTTTTTTGTATTTATTCATGAGTTTTTATTAGTTTTTCTCCTTTTTCTCCAAACTAAAACTTTTAACTATGCTCCCCGAAAACATTTTACCTTTTAACTCTTTTATGAATTTAAAATTTATTTTTTAAATATTGTAATGAAAAAATGCCAACAAAACACTATCGCGTCATTAATCTGTTAAATATTTAATTATAGGCTCACAAAATGATCACATTGGGTACATGCACCTAATTTAAAGACGAAAATAAGCACATTGATACTTCAAGAGACAACTCATAGTTTGTGAATACTTGGGAGAGATGATCATTTCGTCGATATGTTTCTGCTTACCCACTAAACTATCATCTTTAGTATATAGTTATCCCTTTATATTTATTACTTTGCTGCTTACAATAGGAAAATAGCAAACTAAAGATAAATATAAGACCGAAAATAGTTAAGAAGAAGAGCATAAACGAATTTAATAGTTATAAGAGACGAGATGAGATTAAAATAGTTCAGGAAGAATATGCAAAGATAAATTTAATAGTTCAAATGAGAAAGATGAACCGAAACCATTGTATAAACTCTGTAAGCCACTCTCGTCGATGGCTATGACCTAAGAAAAATGTATTTAATAACAAGTATTTTGGGCTGTCCTGCGTTATCTCGATGTAGAATTTTCAACTTTATTTATAGTATAGAAATCTATTATGTAGTTAGTTCTAAGATTGTAAATTCGTTTTCGTTCAACACTTTCGAACCGTTGATTTCGTTTTCGCTTCCCGATGACTGACCCAAGCCCTTTTCAATCGTCAGTTCCCCATCTCGAAAGAACCCAAGCCCTTTTCAATCGTCTTCAACCTCGTCCCCAATTTTCTCCTCCGCCTTCAGCCTCACTACGCCTTCAGCCGCCGACCGAAGGGTGCTCCTCCGCCTTCAACCTCCTTCATCCGCCGGAGGACAAAGACCCCTCCTCCTTCAACCTCCTCAGCCGCCGACCGACAACGGACCCTCCTCCTTCAACCTCCTTCAGCCGCCGACCGAAGGGTCCTCCTCCTCCGCCTTCAACCTGCATCAGCCGCCGACCGACAACGGCCCCTCCTCCTCCATCAGGTTCGACCTCTTTCCATTTTCCTATTTTTTTAAGGTTTTTTCCTATTTTTTTAAGGTTTTCGTGCCTTCAATTAAGTGAGAATTTGATTTCAGTTATGGCCATTCCTTTAAATTCTGTTCTTAGTGATTTCAGTTTGAGAATTTGATCAGAAATTGTATGTCCTATGTCCATAGCTTTTGGTTTGATTTCAGTTTGAGAATTTGATTTCAGTTATGGGCATTCCTTTAAATTCTGTTGTAGTCTGTTAGGTGTGAGAAATTAGTGAGGGTGGGCCTCAAATCATAAGGAGATTGAATTTAGTGAGGGTGAGAAATTAGTGAGGGTGAGAAATTAGTGAGTTATGGGCATTTCAGTTATGGGCATTCCTTTAAATTCTGTTGCATTCCTTTAAATCCTGTTGTATGTCCCGATGGCTTGATCTTTCTTGGCGAATCTCTGCAATTGTAGCTGATAACTTTTTGATGAATCTGATATTTCTCGCTTGATTTTGATAAAGTTGGCAATTTCATGTATATAGTTGGCAATTTCATGAATTTGATCTTTCTTGGCGAATCTCTGCAATTTAATGTATATAATCTCATATTTCTTCTGCAATTGTGTAGGCTGTCTAAAAATCACAATGGATAGCTGAGTCTCCATCGAACACTGATGATGGAAGTTACAATCTGGCGACTTCTAGAAGGCTACAATTCGAAGATTTTCACATGTCAAAGAGTTAAAGCAAAGATTACAAAATGACAGTCTTTAGCAATACTCTGACAGAAAGGATTACAAATCGACGATCTCTTCAAACCAAGACGTGGAAGTCCTCCCCGCGTATCATCATCAAGACACTACACCGATTCAATCACCTACGCCGCTTCAACAGTTATAAACACGAATGCAGCTTCTTATGTGAGATGATTGATCTTGATGGCTGCGACAACAACATGACTAATATTATATTAGCAACCATTAGAGGTACTGATGAGCAGTGTAATGATATTCGACACACTCAGTGGAGATCATGACCTGCAGTTGATAGAGCGTTATTGAGATGCCTCAATTGTCACAAATGGCCTGAATAAGACCTTCTTTACTGGTCATTGGTGTCGTCCATATATAAAGACAGAGAAATCTAAATACTACAACAATCAACAGCTAGAACGCAGCTCCAATCGCTGCCAAGCACAGCTCGAACGCAGCTCCAATCGCTGCCAAGCACAGCTCGAACGCAGCTCCAATCGCTGCCAAGCACAGCTCGAACGCAGCTCCATCGCTGCCCAACGCAGCTTATCAATCGCTGCCCAACGCAGCTTATCAACCGCTGCCCAACGCAGCTTATCAACCGCTGCCGACGCAACTCATCCATCACTGCCCAACGCAGCCCGTCAGTCGCTGCCAAACGCAGCTCAATCACCGCCAGAACGCAGGTCAAGGTTCTGACTCATTCAAACGTGATCGTAACAACTTCGAAGCTGTTCTTCACCCACGATTTGAGGAGTGGCTTTAGTGGGTTGTTACACCCGACTAATGGGGTAACTAAACCCCCATTTAGGCGCGGATTATGGGGGCAGTTACACCCCTAATCCCCCTATAAATAGCAACAAACTCAACAGAGTAAGGGATCTCCTTTTTGGATTGGGGGGAGATCGGATTTTGGATAATCAGATCAAGGGCGGATTTTTGTTGAGAGGATCTTTCAGGCGAGGAGAAGATCTTTCGATCAAATCTTCCAGAATCAGAAAAAGGAGGATTGACTCCTTACACAGTCTGGGAAATCAACAAACGGAGGATCTCTAAACCATCGATATTTGGCTTATCAACCGAATTATTTTCGGTTCCAACAACTCTATCATTAGAGTTTGTTACTTGTTCTGAATCACAAAACTCGACAAGAGTTATCAACCGGCCAAGACAGTTGTTCCAGTGAAGTATAGATATTCGGATCGTCAACGAGAAGCAAACTCGACGCAAGCATTCGAGGGAGGCATCTCATCGCTACCGTGAAGAACCCAGAATTAAACAAAGGGGAGAATCCAGATCATTCTCTTCTCTTTTGTAACTAGGAATCCAAATTGTAATCGAGAGTTGAGAGAGTTGTAATCATTCTTTTTCTAAGCAGTTAGAGAGAATAAAATCAAACGCAATTCTTTCCTTATATTCTTTTTATTACAAAATTTCCCACAAACAAAAGATGGCGACTCCGCTGGGGACTAGCTTCTCTGACGAAGAGGTGGTGGCGCAATCCGACGTTCACCTCACTGGAACAACCGTGGAAACCTTGGTCGTGGAATTTGACCAAGCCAAATACGAGGAGGCTCTCTCTTCCGGATCGCTCAGCCCTAAGGCTAGGCGAGATGCTTGTAAGAGCTCTAAAGAAGTCTTAACTGCTGTTGAGACGCCAAAGAAAGTCCTCTCCTTTGGCCAAAGCCTCAAGCTCGCTCTGCAAACCGAAGATCACACGCCTATGTCGACACAGCGTGTACTTGGTTGTAAAAGGCCTATGACAGAGATAGGCACAATCAACGCCGGTGTTGCTGATACTAAGGCTTTGAAACAAGCCAAGAAAAACGCTGCTCGACGACGAAGAAGGTCCATCCGACGAGCACACCTCCGAGAAAATCAATCCCGAGTCCAACGCAAGGATTGCGTCTCCGAAGATCTGCACAAGCATTGCGTCCATACTCCAGAACGCACACTTCGAGG